TTTCGTCACTCATCCAAGTGACTTCTTCAGTCTCAGCTGACTGCAGGTTTCCACAATCTTATAAACAGTACATTTGCATAATGACTGAAACCAGCCCACTGAAGGAATCCCAAGATTGGGGAAACCTGTAGATGAACAGAATGAAATTTTGGAGATTTACTTTCCTGGATGATTGAGCATGCATCAAGACCAACAGTAGCACTGCTTCCATGAGCACCCTGTTTATCAACAGCTCTGGAGACACTTATTATTAAGCCTCAACAGATCCAGTATGGAAATATGGGACCGGCACTGGGAGTACACTGATTTTTGGGGGAAGGTTTGCCTCCTGTGGGTTCCTAGTTGGTGACAGTTTCTGAATATGGTTTTCTTTTATTTCATTCATTCATTCAAGCCAAAATACATTCTTACAGCCAAAAAATACAATACACTAGAAATGTTGGTGGATTTTGAGTTTCTCTACTAATAAACAATGATGAGCAGACTCTGTGGAACTGAACCATTTCTAGGGTCAAGAAGACAACAATTCTACTCTTCAGGTGATTTTTGTGCTGATAGATACCTTTAAATCTTTCACACTGAACTCAGGAATATTTTTAGAAGTAACACATAAAATCATTTCTTGATAGATTATATAAGACATAATAATAATTATTAGTATTATTTATGAGGGTAAAACACAATTATTCATCATTTAGAGAAAAAAAAATGACTTACTGAATTTGCCTCTTCTCCACTTCCATACAAAGAAAACTGCACCAATTAGAAGAAGAACAAAAGCAACACTGACAGCCGAGTCAACAGTGACATTTGGATTACTGATTGGACGACTGGGTGGACCAGAAGGACTGACCAAGAAGAAATTATCTGAAATTAATAAAACAATTCATAATTCATTGTTTACAAATTAGTAAAATATCATTCTTTGATTCATATCTTTAACACTTCTTCTCTCAGACCTTTATGGATCACCACCAGAGATGGGCAGTAACGCGTTACTTGTAATGCGTTACTGTAAACCGATTACTTTTTTCAAGTAACGAGTAAAGTAAGGGATTACTATTGCAAAAACGGTAATTAGATTATCGTTACTTTCTCGTAGGAACGCTGCGTTACCGCGTTACTAAAAATAGAGCAACAGGACCGCTAGTCTTTGTAATTAGTTACTGATTACTTTTTTCAAGTAACTTGACCAACACTGGTCACCACAGCAGATCATATGTGTCCATCTCTCCCTATTCCAGCATCCTCCTCTGTCACAACAACTCTCTGCACGTCCTACTTCATCCATGAATCTTCCCTGGATTTCCCTGTTTTCCTCCACCTCCATCTTTAATCTTTTGTCCAGTATACCCAGTATCCCTCCTCCACATGTCCTATCTCAGCCTTGCCTCTCTAACTCTGTATCCAAACTTCTTACCTGAGCTGTTGCTCTGATGTATCCGTTTCTAATTTTGGTCACTTCCAATTTAAATCTTTACATCTTCACCTCTGCCTCATGTCTTTTTGTCAGTGCCACTGTCTCTGGGTCTCATAACCATGTAGTAAACTTTACCTTTCACTCTTGTTGCTATCATTCTGTCACAAAGGATGGCAGACATTGACATTTGTCTCCACCCTGCCTGCTCTCTCTTCTTCACCTCTCTTGTCCACTTTCCATTACTTGTTGTCCCCAAGTTTTTAAAATCATCTACTCTTAGTATGTGTACTCCTTGGATCTTCAGTTTTACTGTTGTGTGCCCCCCCCTTCACAGAAATGAAATTCAAACCATTAAATAAAACATTAGATTTACCTGGAACATGTATGTGTGTCTCTCTGCTCTGGTTGGTGTTCCTCTGTTGGACTCTGCAGGTGATGTTGTTGCTGTGTCTCTTCTCCACAGTCACTCTGCTGCTGACAGTATAGAGGTCATCAGGACCTCTGAGGGTCTCTGTAGGTCCAGCAGAGAGGAGGTTTCCCTCACCGTCCAACCACAGCAGCTCAGGCTCTGGATACCAGCCTGCAGACTCACACTGTAACACCACTCCACTGATGGATTTATCAAGGCCTGCAAAGCTGATAACAGGTGAGGAGACGGCACCTGCAAAAAGAGGCTTGTCTCACTTCACAGCTGGTGGACTTTGAACTTTGATGATAGTTCTGACTTCAAATTTTTCCTTACTAATAATGAGTTGTGTAACTTAATGAATGATAAGGCTTGTTTACTTTGTTGTAATATTTGTAATACTGGACACTACTACCAGAGAATACTGGAGAATAAAGGGATTATTTCTCAGCATAAACACATGTTTTTGTGATATGTACCAATTGCTTGCCAGGTTCCCATGAAAATTTGCATGGAAATTTAAATATTGTCTTTATCTTTCTCTCTGCTAATAGCCTGTGAGGTGTGTGTTATGGAGACAGATTTTGGTTTTTTCACGTAACTTCAGGGTTAACCCTGGATTTCCTGTAGGATGAAGGCAGTTTAAGGCAGTTTAATTCTTATCGACTCCGAGTTTACCATTCTTTTGGCTAATGTTAGCCAATGTTAGCTGATGTTTAATAGTAAATGAATTGTTCTTAATAGAAGAAGCTAAATGACTTAGACATCCACTTACTAACAACAAGTTGAACATTAGAGTCTTTACGCAGGTCTGGAAAAAAGCATCTGTATTTTCCCTCATCAGACGCCTTTACTCTGGAGATCTTCAGAGAAATTTCTCCATGTTTCATTTCATTAATAAACAGAGATGTTCTGCCCTTGTAGGATGGATTTTGTAACTCAGGTCTCTCCGGCCACACATGGACTAATCTGAGGTCCAGGTCAGGTCTACTCCACTCCACAGTCATGTCTGAAGCATCCATGGTTGGGTAGAGGTAACATGGCAAAATGATGTCATCACCAACGATTGCCGCAACTGGCTGATTTGGACCAATCACCTCTGACTGACCTAAGACAACAAAGGCTTCTGTTTTTATTTCACACAGAAATGAACAACAAACCTTGTTATTACTGTAAGCACATAACAGGTTGGTATAATTCCAGTGAGTCAGTGACTGGTAAACTTAACTGATGTGGTAACTTCAAATGTCTAAAAAAAATAACATCAGCAGTTATGGAGCCTTTCATATTAAATTATTATTAGAAATATCAAAGATGGGGCCAGTTCATCGTGTTATCCCCAGTGAGAAATGTAATAATGAACTTAACCTTGAGATGAGAGTATGTCATGGCTGCACTTACAGCCACACATTGGTAATATCACCATATTAGTGTAGAGGCTTTTACATAACATTGCATTCACATTTGTCTTTAAATATATTAACTTACAAATCCACATATCCACATAACACTGCATTCTAAAATAAGTGCGCACATTTTAGTTTACACTGTTATGTGTGATTAATCCTTTGTTTTCTGAGTTACCTTTGTTGCAGCTGCTCCAGTCCCTTGATTGAGAAGCCAAGAGGTGGAAAAGGGGCAGAGCGAGCTTTAAAGGAAGACTTTGTCTTCGCCTTTGTCTCGTTAATTGAGGTCAGTTTGTTTGAGTTATCAGTATTGTTGTCAACTTTAAGTAGAGCTCTGTTATTTTGACCTCTTTTATGGGCCCAAGATTTTCATTCTTTTTGCATGAGTTAACCAATTATGTTTTTGGGTTAAATAAAAAATCCTTCTTTTGGACTTTAACCTGTGCCTAAGTTTCCTTTGCTGCTCACTCCACCACAGAGCATCAGAGCCAGAAGAACAGCAGTTTAGAAAAACAGAAGTTTAAAGGCACTACAACAAGAGTCAGTACATAAAAAGTTACTTACATCAAATTTCGACTGTATCGAGAACTTGATAACAAATTTCAAATATTTATACAATCTCCTTTAAAAAGCAAAATACTGGAAATTACACCATTCTGCATTCAATCATTAGTTATTATTAGCCTATGGCTCTCATCCATAGCATGTCTTTGTCCTGTCTTCCACCTGCCACCCCAAACCTTTCACACCAGATGGCCACCACTCCCTGAACCTGGTTTCTTCCTGTTAAATGGGGATTCTTTCTTCCCACTGTTGCCAAAGTGCTTGCTGATAGGGGGTCATTTGATTGGTGGGGTTTTCTCTGATCTCTCTGTAATATTGTTATCTTTACCTTTCAACACAATGCACCTTGAGGCAACTGTTGATGTAGAAATAAAACTGAAATGAAATTAATTGAAACGAAAGTACACTAAAGAATTTTACAAGAAAATAAACATTAAGGCAGTTTTCTAAAAAAAAATAGATTTTGGCAGTCCTGTGATATAAAAAGAAATATCTAAAGTTTTTTTTTTTGTTTTTTTTTCTGCCTGTCCCATTTGGTTCTTTAGCCGTCAGAATTGTTGTCTGAAGACCAACAAGGATACCCAATGGATTTATTTTGCCAAATGGATCATCATGGCATTGCCGTATTGGTCCATTTGATCGACCTTTGTTTTTATTATTTATT